GGCCCTGTGAATTTCTGAAAAACTGAAACTGCATAGTTTTAATTATATGTAACAATGCATTGAATTGCACTCAGATCTTTGGTGACTGTGTATCTATCAAAAATGACGTAATTTTCTGGCTAGTCAATGCATTATGACGTCAAGAAAAGCGTCAATTTCCTCATATACTGAAAAAGTCTACAAAAATGGCTAATTTTTAAAGCTATTTTTCAATATTTAATATGGAGCGCAACCTCTGATCTAACATGTGCAACTACTAAATGATAGAGCTATTTCTGGGAATTAAAAGACATCTTGTATTTTTTAGATCACAGAGTGCGTTGATATTACTTTTCTTCACTGAAAGTACTCAATTATACCTGTTTACCATTAAATTCAAGAATATTGCAATTTATAAAGCAAGTTCTCCAATTAAGATCTGGGCTTTTAGGAGAAATTTTTTTAATAGAAAGTGAAAGCTATTCTATTTTATTGCTTCAAATGGAAAATTAAGTGTTAATCAATCGATTGGTATATCTACAGGGCCATTTTACGCATAAAGTGAACCGAGCAGGGACGGGGTCAATAACTTTAAAAAGTAATAAATTAAATTACAATTATTTTGACTTTTTTTTCAATTGAATTACAATTAAATTACAGGCTCTCTAGACGGACAGACGGACGGACGGATATCCCGATTACTATATACCCTCCCATTTTTCAAGCGGGGGGTATAAAAATATGTTATTAGGCATGGTGTATCTTTGTGGTTTAAATCATAACTTTTATTTACAATACAGTAAAGAACTGTTCAAGATCATTTTGATGTAGTTGCCTCCACACAAAACCTACATGTACACAAATTGCATGGGATATGATATTTGATTAAAAGGGGATTTCAATGGAGCAAAATAAGTCACAACTATAACCCCTCAAATTAAATATTTCTTTTAAAGGGAACATTCTAAAATTGCTATTTAGGTTGAACATTTTTACGTTAAATAATACTTGTACAAAACATAACTTTTTCAGATACAAAATTCATTCATAAAATTCTGTTTGAATGTTAAAATAATTATGAAATTGAAAGTTTGTCTTTTCTGAAACTAGCAGATCATTTTTAATTGAAATAATTATCTCCATGCATTGGCTTTGTCATCTAAATCAAGGAATGAATACCTCTTTAGAGGGATACATGTAGGTGTAAGGTCATGTGGTCAGCACAGCGAGTCATTCAGTTGTATTGTGATAACCCGCATGCTGACCAGGCTAACATTAGGCACGTCTATTTTGAAGACACTCCTCCACCCCTGCATTCCTACCCCTTAAAATGGGTATTAAGGTGTCATGTAAAGTCATATATTTGATTAATTCTGGCTCAAATTGTTTATACTGTTTTTATATTTATTTGTTCTTCTACTATCCTTGGCCTATTTTGTTTTGATGTGCCATCTTTTTGCTAACTTTTTCATATGATGTTTTGATTGTCTTGTCTTACAGATACTTTTTTCTAGTCAATTTTGGGGATCAGACATTATCATTTTTTACGGAACTGCTAATCAAAGCTTGTGAATCTGATCCCCTTCTTGTTTGTTAAGTTTTTCACATTTATACCGACATTATTCATCTCTATGAAAGTGTTTTATTTGACTTATACAAAATCAGCAAAAACAAGCTACGGTGAGCTTGCCTATAAGTATAAGAATACATAAAGTACATTATTATTATAAAATAATCTGTCTTCTGTATAATTGAAGGACTGAAGATATGTTTTGCAATAAAATAAAGAAAGTATAATGGGGAGGTCGTGGTGACAATATATCATATCATGCATGTGTATTATATACAATAACTGAATGTAATTGAAAAAGTAATTGAAATTACATAGTATTTTTTAGTGTGATTAATTAAATTACAATTAAAAGTATTGCAATAAAAAATGTTCAATTATAAATTATTCCCAATTACTTCAAAAAATGCAATTCATTACAGTCAATTACAATTACTTTTTTCAATCACCCCATCCCTAGAACCGAGTTCTTTCACCCAGTGGTATAAGAGGAGTTGCGGATAAGAGATTGGTACCCTAGAGCGTAACAGACAGACAGTCGGATGGATGGACAGGGTATAGTTAATTAATAGGAACATTGTCAAAACGAAGTGGGAATTTGTGTTATATAATTATATTGTATACATGTACAAAACAAGGGGAATAGGGAAAACCAAAGGTCTGAGCGTATACAACTATTATTAATAAGTGATTACAAAATGACAAATTAATAAAAAGAAACCTTTTTAATATAAACAGAATAATGTTTGATGATTTTAGACTTTGAATCACACTTACCTGTAGCGACCCGGATAATACACCTGTACAATTGACCAAGTGTGCACAATGCAAATTGTCTGCAGTTTTTGCGAACAATAGAAACTGGATTTGAAAGATGAATACAGTAATAAGATTGAATGGTGTTTCTCTTTTAAACAGGAATTGTTAAAGGTTAAGATATCGAATAGAATTTCACAATACAGATTTGTGAAGGCAGAAAAGATAAAGAGATAACCAAATACTGGTAAATAATCAGAAAAAACACACAAAGAGAGAAAACTCTTTCTTACAGATTAAAGATGTGGATAAGCGAAGATGTGCGGTTTTTCTGCAAGTCTGCAGGAAACATTGGACTTACAAACATAAAAATGTTTTTATGCGGAACAGAAGTGATTTGCATCGGTACCGATATCAAACTAGTTTCATGCCAGAGAAATCTTTGATCATATAGACTTACATCTCCATTTACATTTAAAGGATTACTGTTGATTAATAAATAAACTTTTTTATAATGATTGTACGGGATTTCCCGATCTTTTACAGATTTAAAGTATGTTCTCAGACTGGAAAGACTCTTTTGCGGTTTATCACAATTGTTATTTTCAAAGTGCGTATGACATTGGAGGGATGGGGTATTTGAAAAAAGTTATAGCAATTGACTGTTATTAATTACATTTTTTAAAGTAATTGGAAGTAATTTGTAATTAAACAATTTTCCATTACTTGTGCTTGTAATTTAATTAATTACACTGAAAAAATACCATGTGATTTCAATTACTTTTTCAATTACATTCAATTACTTTACACAGAACACATCCAATATTGTCACCACTACCTCCCCATTTTACTGTCTTTTATTTAATTGTTAAACATATCCTCAGTCCTTCAATTATAAAAAAAATCTTAAGTTAATGTTTACAAGCAAATCTGTTCAATGATTGGTTTGATAATAATAATCTAGTTTCTTTCTAATCATAATGTAAAATTTATTTATTTGATTTTTTGTTATAGATTTATCTAAATTTTGTTCCACTCTTCTTAGGTCTATTTGTTATGAAACACATTTATTATACTTCAAAGTTTTCTTGTTTGAGCAATAATAGAGAAAAAGAATGTGCACGTCATAGTTAAGTTCTTTCTTGTTGGGAAGAAATAATTGCCCTCCTAATCACAGCTATAAATTGCAATCAAAACAAAACTCCTCGAAGGAGGTATTCATTCCATGATTTAGAAGGTGTCTTCTACCTATTCCCACTTTTTAAAAATCTCAATTCCACCTCTTCCCACTTGCAAAGAAAAATAGATGTTTTGATAGTTAATTTGTTTTACAGTAATTCGACTTATTACATCTGCTCTTTAGATTTACCTGTATTTTGCACATTTTAAGACAGAAAATAATGAATACATCTATGAGAAAATATGATTTATTTCGTATTTTTTAAAATAATAAAAAGGTCTTGCAAGAAGAAGCAATTTTATATCTTTATTTAATAACATAAATAAATAGAATAGTCGAAAAAAAAGCACTCAAATAGGTAGATTTTAGAATGAACTGGTTAAGTGGAAAGATATAATTTAATTCAATTAAAACTCCATTTTTTCTTTCAAATATTAGTAAAAGTCTGATTTATAATTTAATAAAGCAAATATACCTGTCCTCTATTCCAATAGGTGTTCGTTAATCATTGATTGTGCAGCACTTATATGTTTTCATAGTTAGTTATTTGTTTACACAAAAATTCCACCTATTCCCACATAAAATCTTACCTCTTTCTACCTGATTTTCAAAAAGTAGGAATAGGTACAGTACCCGCATCGCTATTCTTTACAATTCTATCGTGCTCTATCGTGCGTGTATCCTATCGTATCGTGCGTGTATCCTATCGTATCGTGTTTTCCGTTTATCGTGTTTTGCGTTTTCTATCGTGTTTTCCGTTTATCGTGTATTGGGTTTATCGTGGAGATCGTTTATCAGGTTCTATCGTGTATCGGGTGGTGCGTTTATCGTGTATATTCGGTAACCCTCGCTTTTTATCTTTACTAAAGAAAGAAACTACTGAGCTAGTCCGAGTTTCTTTTTCGTTTTGTTAACTAAAATAAGATTACTTCAACCGAAAAAGAGAAAAGAAAGTTTTATCCGTTTCTTTTTATTATTAAAAGAAATATTAAAGCGTAGAATAAAAAGAATAAATAAATAGCGTATTTCATAAATAAATAAATTGATTTTAATTAATGATCATATAAATAAATAAAACAATTATTAAAGACGATGAAGACAAATATAACTTCTTAAATCATTTATTTTTGATTTGGCGATTGTGGCCACGACCTACAAAATACAATATATATTTTATTAATCGTTATAAGATAACTCCTTATAAACCTTATCCTTATAAAACTTATATCCTTATCCTTATAAACTTTATATCCTTATCCTTATAAACAATGTATCCTTATCCTTATAAAGTCCTGAAGATTTGAATACTGACAACATTCAAGCTGGTACTGGGTTAGCAGATACTCAGCAGAAGTTGTGAAAAAATAATTGTTTCATGGAAGGCGTCTCGAAAAACCGCCAAATGGTTGTCCGTTGAAAATGACAACCACCGCCAACGAAGTTAGGTGGAATGAGAGACGCAAAATATGTGTAGGTGTGACCACATCTTGAAGCTTAATCTACATATTCAACCTTTTATAGAAAAACATATTCTTGCAAAGCCCTTTGTAAGTTATACAGCAAGAAACCATTACCGATGTACGACAGGTGAACTCCATCACTACTAAACATATCATTTGAATCCCAAGTAATCTCTGGGTATTTGATAAAGAATCCACCATTGACAGTAACTAAGTGATTCATAAAATTATTGAGTCTAACAGTAGCAAGATTTTGAGATTTTGAGTTTGAACTAAAACGCCATGAAATTCTTGGCAAAATATTAGACCAACCAATTGTTGTGCTGGGTAGTAGCTCCTCAAGTTTTTTGAGTGTTGAACACATATTTGACCGTAGTTGCAGCAATGGAATTTTACCTATATCATTCCCTCCACAATGAATAATTAAAATTTCTGGAGGTGATTCATAACGTAACAAAAGTTTTATTTTTGGAATAAGGTCAAACCATTTCATAACTCCCTTTCCCTGCCAAAAAATTCTGTAATTTCTTCGTTTTAAACCTAAATCCACACCATCAAAGGATTTTCTTGCATAGTAGAATGCCCATTTAATAATTGAAGAACCAACAATCCAAATAACCTTTTCATCTCCTATATAAAATACAAAAAATTCAATCAAGGACATTACTAAATCCTAATATACCTTTTGAAGGCATCTGAACTCCATCTACCTTGCTTTTTTATTTCTGTTTCCGAGTGACCGTAAGAGAAACTATCTGACTAGGCACTAATACGGAAAGAGTGAGATTTGTACTTGGAGTTTGGAAGACCGGCTATCTCGCGAGACTTATTTAATACTGAACAGAATTGAAACCTTGTTAGAGGACTACCATCCATATGTTTAAATAACTGACCCTCAAATTTCGGTCTCATGGTGAAGTACCTTACGTTTTCAATCAGTCAACTGAACAGACAGAATTATTTGTTTGAATCAAACATACGGATGCCCCTTTCTTAAGTTGGTCAGTTTTTGAAAAAGGAACTCTAAGCTCTACGAAATTTTCCCCAGAATTTTCATTTTTTCTAAATTTTACATGTTCAATAGAAATAATTTGATTTGCTAGATTTGAACTACTAAAGGTAAATTCACCGATTCTAAGAAAAGCATGATAGGCTACCGAAAATGCCGTTGAAAAAAGAATGGCCTCGAAATTCGACGAACAAACTAAATTTGTTGCTTTTATAAGTTTCTCAAGAATGTGTTTTGTAATAGGAAGTCTACAATCTTTGGAATGGTTTGACCTTTTGATTCCTTCCAATAATTTTCAAAGTTTTTTGTATTGTCACAGAAACCCAATATTTTGCATTTGAAACTTATTCCTGATATATAGGATGAAATAGTAGAATGAGCCAAACCTTGCAGGGATAAATGAGCAATAAACATACAAATGTGTGGAACAGGTGGGGGCCAAACAGTACAAAGTTCATACAAAATTCTGAATTGCTCAAAGCTTTTTAGACTAGTGGAATATGTTTGCCTTGTATTTACTGATACCGAATTAAGTGTGAAGCGTTTAATTTCAGTTCCAAGATCAGTTTTACAAAATCTTCTGGAATAGGTGTCGGATCTTGATTGGAGTTGGGGGCAAGAACTCGAAACCTGGTCCACTCTTTGCGAGAAATAGAATCCGCTATAGCATTATTATAACCATCGATATGACATGCTTTAAAGTAAAAATTGTTTACCATGGAATGTAAAACCAATGGCCTAACCAATTCCATAACTCGAGGAGATTTTGATGATTTTTTGTTTAAAATGGAAACTAAAGCTTTGTTGTCAGTGTGCAGCATTATTTTCTTGTCGAGAAATTCATTCTTAGATAAGAAAATTGCAAGTACAGTTGGCACTAACTCTAAAAATGTTATGTCTAACATAATGTCTGGATTCTTCCAGCTATCTGGCCAACCAAAATATGCCCATTGCTCATGAAGGTAAACGCCGCATCCTAAATGTTGATTGCCTGTACTATCGGTGTAGAGATGAAGTTGGTCATTAGACAACCAATTAACAGTCATGAAATTTAAACTGCCATTAAACCTGTGTATGAAATCTAACCACACAAGAAGGTCCGATTTCATTCCCTTTGTTACCCTAATGAAATGACTTGGGTTTTTTATTCCACACATAGCATCACAAAATTTTCTATTAAAGGCCCTAGCAGATGGAATATCTTTAGCACAAAAGTTCAGAGAACCTACCAAAGATTGTAATTCTCTCAGCGTCACTTTTGTTTTTTGTAACATATCAAGCAGTGATTTCTCTAGGTCGATAATTTTTTCATCAGGAATTCAAATAACCATCTTATCTGTATCAATTTCTATACCCAGGAATGTAAGTACCGATTTTGGGCCCTCTGTTTTCTCCTCTGCAAGAGGGATGCCAAAAGCAGAGCAGGTATTTTTGAATGATAACATCAACAGGTTACATGTTTCTAGCTTGTACCCAGCAAATATGAAGTCATCTAAGTAATGGTTCAGAGTGTGAACTCCAGTTTTTACTTCTACTACCCACTGAATAAAATGTGCAAACTTTTCCCATAAAGCACAACTTATTGAACAAGCCATTCGTAGACACATATCGTAATAATATTGATCATTGAACTTGAAACCAAGTAATTGATGGGCAGAAGGGTGAACCGGAAGTAATCTAAAAGCTGATTTCACATCCATTTCTCCCAGATAAGCCCCTTTCCCCAGTGACCCTGCCATGTCTAAAACCTCGTCAAAAGAAGTGTATTGAACAGAACAAGCTTTGGGGTCTATGAAATCATTAACAATAAAATTAGAAGGATAGGAATGAAAGGTGGTGAATGAGACGCCAACCCCCATCCTTTTTTGACACTACTCCAATAGGTGATAGCCTTAAATTGGACAAAGGTTCATGATTGAAAGGACTATTCGACCCAAAGAAATTTCTTTGTCAATTTTTTCTTTTACCTCTTTTGGGTGATCGTTCACAGAAACTAAATTTTTACAGGTTGTTGACACTCTTGGACCTTCATGTAGATAAAAACCTAATTCAAACCCGTTCTTTAATTCATTAGCTACAGTTTGATTTGGAAAAATTCACAGATAAGGACACATATTATTCAAGTTAATTGGTGTTAAACCTGTTCTTACGAAAGGGGCCTGTTGAATATTTGCTGCCTGGCTGACGAAAAATTGAGAAGGGGGCTTGAAAAGCCCTAGAGGACGGTGTCCTCTGTACAGCTTGTTTATTAGGACAATGAACTGCAGGATGTTTCTTTTGACACTTTAAACACTGGTGTTGATTTTGACAATTTTGCATGCGACAAGAGCCTTTGTTGTATTCATAATAAAATTTTTAGCTGCCTTGAGAATTTTTATTTACTGAGTTAGTATTTGGGGTTATGTAAAGAAGCCAAAGCTCCGGGTCGATTTTGTCTCAGGAAATACTGTTATCTTTGGAAATAAATCTTATTATATCATGGTAAAGCAGAGAGTGATTGTCAAAATTTAAACAGTAACTCTATTTTTCGGAAATGAAATTATAATCAATCACCTGGTCTTTTTTTAATGATTTAATGGAACTGTATGATTTATTTTGTCAAAATTAAATACTATTAATATTATTTTCTTAAATGAATCAGAGTTACTGGAGAAAGATTTTTGGTAAGCTTCGATGTATGCGTACACAAAAAGCAAATAAATAAATAATAAGCAGGATATTGATATGTATCTTTTGTTCATGCAATTTTCTATTTTTTCCCCTTGTTTATCGTCTGATAATATTAGTAATATGTTTACGCCTCTGATCTGCATGTATGCACAATTATTTAAAGTCTTGATGTTACAAAATAATAAAACATAAGATCCAGATGATTTAAACACCGATTTTGGCCGTATACGTTCAAATTTTATATTAATTTTTTTTAATATTTTATCACTATATTTAAAATAAGTTAATTATAAATTCCTTGATATATGTCTAAATTAATAAAAAAAAATCAAAATTATAAAATATAATGCATGAAAATATTCTACCCAATTTATAACACCATGGCTGTTACTATAAAATAGAAGTTTTTCATTAATTCTTATCGGGTACAAGTCAAAACGGCACCTGGTGAAAACGGCACTTAAGAAATATGCAAAACGGCACTTTATAGTAGTCAAAACGGCACTTTCGAAAAGTCAAAATGGCACTTTTTTAATTTTGAGAATTTGATATAGTTTATACAGAAAATGGATCTTTAAATTACATTTTTAGTAATAAATGTGTATATTATTATTAATAAAAATGTTTAAAAAATGTTTTAGAAAAAAAATAGATTAATGTCATACGATAATCATTATACTTTTGTATAGTGGTTAGATTTTTCAAATGTACTTCTTCTTAAATTATATGTCTATTATTTTTTACAAAAGAGATCAAATCCCAATTATATTATTATGATCCTTTGAAATTAAAAATTTATAGTATTGCAAATATGTATACTGCTCTGTTTTGGGGGTTGCCAATCACAGTTGACTAATTAGAAGCCATGCAGTATGTCTACTTAAAATACACTTGTAGGAATAAGAAACAAAAGACCGTTTCACACCTCCGGGTCCCCTTCATTGATCTGCTGATCATGCTCATCAATTTGCAACCATATACAGTTACTCTTGTGTATTTCTTGACAATATGTCAAAGGGATTGTACACAAGTTAGGAAAACTTAGATATTCTTCTCTAAACTGTACATAAAATCTGAATAGCCATACAACATTAACTATTAAGTTTTTTACAATTTGAAACTTGTACATAGAAGAACAAAAACATCATTTTTTTATTATAACTGAAGAATATCAATTTGTTTATATTTAATAATATGGATTAAATATTAAGACGATACAATGTTGATATTGTTACAAAAAATAATTCCTATAGATGATAAAATGATGCCGGTATTGTTTAAAATCTTGTTTTTGAAGATAACATTATATTTAAAAACAGTGCTGTTATTTCATTAATTAAAAAAAGGAGACTAAAAGATGAAGATACAGATATTTCAAGAAATAGAATGAATAAAAATCATTTCAAATTTACTATTAAAATATATGAATCTGTGGAGAAAAGTATGTATATGCATAGGTTCATACAGAATTTAATTATATATATATCACAAAGATTTCGGTACTACGAATCACCGGAATGCCCTGTAATCACCGAAATGCCCCAAGAAATCACCGAAATGCCACCGAAAAGCCCCTTATATTGTTAAGAATAAACAAAAAAATAATAAATATTGATGAAAATAACTGTTATAAAGCCTAGATACCAAGTAAAAATTTCATAATTTTAGCGTAAGTATTTTTATTTGAAGATATGTGCATGTAAGTATCAAAGAAAGATAACTCTCACTGATTAAAGACACGTGCCAAAATAGTTTTATTTATTTTAATTTTCCATATTTTTCGTTTAAATATATTCCAAACAATAAGTTATTCTTTATAAAAAAATTTGTTTGTAATATTATTGACGTATTTTCTTGATTTCTAAAAAAGGAGGACACGTGTAATTTTACAGGAAAATTCTTTATTAACAATGTATATATTAATTTACATTTATTATCAAATAGAAAGATTTTACGTTTATAGTATATAAACAAAAATATATGCCATATATGACTTTAATCAAAATTTATTTTTTATTCACTGAACTATAAGAATATATGCTTGGTATAATCAGGGACTTATATATGTCCCTGGTATGTACATTGTTTAATTTACAAGGGTTGATAGTGTATTATAAATATTACATGTACATGATGTATGAATTAAAGTTTTGCTGATCTAATTCGTAAATTAATGAAATTATATTATGTTCACACTATTTGTGAGGAAAATAAATCATTATACACTTTTTTTCATTTCAGCACAGAAAAGAACTGCAAATGAAAGAAATTTAATAAAATCTATAAAAATTATAAATTTATTTCATTCTTGTATATATAAGATGACAAACTTTTTTGGTAGTTTCATATTTTACTATAAAAGATAAAAAAAAAATAGAACGAAGACAAAATTAATTTGATTTTATTGTGTTCAATGTTCAATTGGTTTGAAACAATTGGATATCTGAAATAATAATTATGTTTACTATGTATACACAGTGATTAAATAATTGATCTAGTGACAGGTGTGTAGTATTCTTATGTCATGTTACATCATCAGGTACATGACAATCAGTGACCGAAATTACGCACGTGCGCTATACAAACACAGGAAAGGGTATCTTTTGCTAATGAACAGTTTACTACATCAATTGAAAATGAAATAGTAAAAGTTGACAATTTACCTTTATTTTTTTTAAGTTGTTGAATGGGTTTAATACAATGACAATGACAATGACAATAATTTATTCTCTTAAATGTACAAACATACATTGTAGAGAGGAGGTAGGAAAATGTACAAACACAATACAAAAAAATATAATACATGCATTATAAACAGTACAAAGTATCATGTTCAAGTTCATGTCAATTATTTTCATCTATAATTTGTTTGTTCCTCTGGGCCGCTATCCTGGAACTCCTCGTCATAGTCTGGATCGTATAACTGGCCGTTCACGTAAAGTTTGTCCCTGACCATCCTAACCGTGTCACCTTGTTCGCGGAACTGCCTCATCACAGGGTAGAGGGTCCTTCTGCGATCTTCCACAACAGCTGGAAATTGTTGGTGTATTCCATAAAGGCTGCCCTTCAAGCGATATGCACAATCTAACACCAGGTCTACATCTCTTTGGTATACGAATCTAGCCACTATTGGCCTGGGTCGACCCCGGGTAAAACGTCCAAAGCGATGTACATTACATGATTTATCAAGCACTTGCTACTTCCGAAATATTCGCTAATATACAAAAGAAAAGATCCGTAATTGACCTGACTGACAATGTATCTAATCAAGTAACAAATTAAAATAAATAATTATTTTAAAAAATGAAAACATTTTCATTGATTAACGCAGTACAGAGTTTAAAAACTTTTTTTTTCCTTTTGTGATTGCATTTGTCTTTTGAAAAAATTTTCATGTCGATCGTAAATTATCACAGGAGTTGGTCTACCGGTATCTTCTCTCTCTCTCTCTCTTTCTCTCTCTCATTTTGTTTGGTAAAACATAAACTTTATAGTCCTTAAAATTAGATATATTTAATAAAAGATAAATTTACTCCATAAATAATGACGGGTATTTAGATTTTACCGCCAGACCTACATGTATTTCCCCAGACAGGCGTCGGCAGGCGTATAAATTGTCCAACCTGGTTCACAAAAAGTCAATTAAAAAGGAAGAAAGAAAAAAAAGAAAAGAACACAAACATTTAATAAAAAAAACTTAAATAAATCAAAATTCCCCAAAACTTCAACTAGTTTAAAAAAAAAAAAAACAGTGTACGTATGATATACGTATCTGTAATAATAGCATATGCACTTGACTATAAAAATTAAGATTAGGAACCTATACAGACCATATTTTAACATTATATTATTCAAAGGTCATGAAACAATAACGGTGACGGGTCACAATCATTTGTCATCATTTTTTTCTGAGAAATATCATTATTATTTTATATATATCTATTAGGCTACGTTGATTTCGCTTCCTAGAAAATTATCATCAAATACGAGTTATCGCCCTTTGAAGTAGGCGAGCACAAAACCTGAAAATAATTAATTTTACCGTCAGTTATACTTTAATGATAAAAAT